TTTGCGTACACGTGAATGCAGAGAGCGGCAGCAACCGCGTGGGGAATACCTTCTGCTCATGCTGCTGCCGTCCCAAGGTAGCCAAGCCAACAGCAGGCTACGGACAGGAGAGAGGAGGTGTGTATAGGGCGAAGAGCAAAGCAAGGCGGCGGAAGATTGGTGTTAGGTATGACGTGCATGATGCAGGGCGCACAGAGCAGCATGAAAGTCGCGTTTTGTTGACTTTTGGCCAGCCCGGCTCCTTTTGGGCTGTACACGAGTAGTAGCTACAGTACTATACTTGTAGTTTACTCGAGTACCTGCCGACCGTTGTCCGGATAACTGCTTGCTGTATCATCTCATCTGCAAGCCAAGCGCTCGTTGCCAATGCAAGTGCAATAGAGGTATTCCTGTAAGCTGGCCCCATTCCAATCTACAATACATACGCTGTGGCAGGACGCGTCTGTCGGCGGGAGCACGCGCTTGTCTCACCTCGAGACACTCCCTGCCCATGCCCATGCCCATGCTCTCCCCTGCGCTGCAATAATCATGCATTGTACCGCACTTGATCCCCGCCAAACAGACGGTTGACCTGCATGTCATAGTGATAGTGATAGTGCTCAGCTCCGTACACTATTAGGCGCCACGTCGTTGAATTTGCTAACGTTGTTGTTTCTTCCCTTCAGCTATGTCCATACATCGAACCAGTAGCGGCGTCCGAACCCTTCGTGCTGTGTTCGAAAACCAAGAACCTACCTCCCCAGACACACGTGGCCGCTCGCCCAACGGCCGTCTTACAACACCCGGCGACAGACCTCTCTCCAAAGTTCGCACCAGCTTCGTCCCCGTCGACGGAGGAAACGACACGACAATGGAATCCGACGAGCTGTCTAAGCAAGAATCCCAACACCGTACCAGCTCAGGTCGTCGGCCGAGCTTCAGTCTTGACGAGAGCAACGATGCTACTACACTGGAGAGGCTGAGGAGCACTATATCCGAGGAGAAGGAGGCCAGGCGAGAGAGTGTCCAAGTGGAGGAGACTGTCCCTGAAGAAGCCATCAAGGAGACCCCTACCGGCGAAACCCCTGCTGCTGTCGAGGCCAAGGACTACATGGCGGCAGGTATCCATCAAGGCAGCAAGCTCCAAGAGATGACACTCCCTGACGAGGACACGCCTGCTGCGAACCCGGACAAACCAGTGACGGCTGTCGAGGAGGAGCCGGGCAAGATGCAGCCATTGCCAAACGAGACTTCAGGGGATGCGCTTACCAAGGGCACGAAAAGTGAAGAGCGGGAGAGCACAACGGACCAACAGTCTGCGCCCACAGACCCAGCTGCACTACTTGCTGCTCCCAATGCTGCCGACAACGACAGCGCCAACGCGCCTGCCCCTACGCCTTCGATCACCGAGACCGCTCCTGCTGAGGGCGCTCCTGCCTCCACCCCGCTCAGGACCCCGAAGAAGTCAACCGTTCAGAAGTCTGTCTCTACCCCGGCCACTGCAGGCAAGGGAGTCAAGGAAAGCCCCGCAAAGACAAACCAAAGTGCTCAAAAACCATCAGCGCTATCCGGCCTAACACCGAAGCCAACCGCATCGCCTAGACCTTCCACCTCCGGTGGCGCTCCCAAGACACCAACGTCTGCCAAATCTCCTTCATTTGCCAGGTCGCCAACATCTTCGAGGAAACCAGCTCCCGCCTCGCTTACCTCGCCAAAACCTGCTACGCCCTCAACAAAGACTCTTGCCTCGCGGCCCAGCAGAAGTTCATTAACCGCCCAAACCGCATCTTCTGCTGCAAAGGCGAAACCACAAGGAGCTTCGGACGCTGCTGCCAAGCCTAGCAAAACCTCGCCCACCGCAGCAAGGTCAAGGCCCAAGTCACCAACCAGGCCGGTCAAACTGTCTTCTCACCTGTTAGCTCCTACAGCTTCCTCAGCAGCCAAGCATGACACGCAACAGGCCAAGACCAATGGGCATCTGTCGGCCAGCCAAAGATCGCATCCTCCGGCTCGGGCACAAGCCCGGCCAGCAGCCACCGGTAAGCCAGCCGCTCGCTCTTCGCTCGCCTCCTCGACAACCAAGCGTCCCGAGTCACGCACTGGCGCAAGAACAGCCAAATCCACTGCCGCGCCAGACGAAGGCTTCCTCGCACGCATGATGCGGCCAACCCAGAGCTCCGCCGGTAAGCTCCACGACAAAGTCGATGCTCCGACTCACAGCACCGTACAACGAGCAAAGTCCGTGATCAAGGGGAGGACTGCTGGAAAACCCGCCACCTCGGCTGCGAAGAAGGAAAAGTCCACCTCAAGGCCCAACACTTCTGGCAAGGCGAGCGCTCCGGCTTCTGATGCGCCACCGGTGCCTGCCGCTGTGAACGGGGAGGCAGCGCCTGGAGGAGCAGCACCTCAAGAGGCATCCGCCGCAGATGCTTTTGTCGACGGCGGAGCGACTCCGCAGGTTGAGCCCGATGCTCAGGAGGGAGCGGATACGCCTGCTTTCAACGAAGCGACTATACGCTAGAAGCGCAACCGCTGTTCTAATCCGTTCTGGGCAAGTAATCTGCGCTACGTTGCAAGAGATTCAAGTTGTCGGTTTCCGTCGAGATTGAGGGACAGTTCTCAAGGGACCTGCTAGGGTTTCTAGGTCTTCGGACCTGGTCCGTAAACGCTTTTCAGCTGTTGGTCGTGTGTACTTCTATTTCTGCTTGGTTCTTTAGCGGTCGTTTTCATCCTGTATCTTGTAACCGAGAGACACGGCATGGTGCTGGCTGTATCGATCTCTCGTTCTGCCTGATTCCTTCCATGACGCGAACATTGGCTTGTTCATGTGCTGTACCCTTCCAACCCTCCACCTTCTCAGCACGTTCGCGCCGATTTCCTTTCGTAGTGTCAAACCCACTCGAAAGCAAGTGAAAAGACGGATCCGTGCTTCTCCTTTTCACTTACGCTTCGGCACACCTTGATCTGCCGTTATCTACAACACTCGCTCTCAATCTTCACCTCCGATTCTCACCGCCCACCTCTCAACCACCGTTACTCGGCCCGAGCCTAAAGATACCATGGCCCAGTGGTCGATATGAACGACCGGAATCCGGAAAAGATATGCTTCGGAGTTCTGATCAGCATTACAGAGTATGTGAGCTATAGGTCCAGCATAATGGGAACATATCGGCTCGTGCTGCTGACGTCGGAGCAGCCAAACCACACGCTCTTGTCCGTCGCTCCGCGCGCCTCTCCATACGCCGCGCCGCCGTGCCAGCGAAAATGCAGCACGCCCATTGCGTGAATAGGCGAGAGACGCAGGGTCCGTAGGGAAGACGGATTCACACGCTCGATCGAAATGCGGAGGACTACGAGCAGCGCTTCAATGGGCGTGAAGCCTACCCAGCCTGGATCGCCGTTGCAGGCGATGGTGAGGGTATCGATGTTTGTCAGAAGTGTCAAGATGCGTGTCCACTCCTCCAACAGCGTCGCATCAACTTCACTCGGTCGCGGTGGAGTTGGTAGAGAGCGACTGTCCCGATTGTCCTGATGGTCTCCTGGATCTGGCCAGTGCGGAGAGCCTGCGAGAGGACCGCCGATGTGCGCGTCCACGAGCAGATTTCTGTGCGGTGAGAGTGCAGTGGATATGAGGTGCTCGGCGCTCGGGGCCCCGCGCAGCGTTTCCGTACTCCAGAGACCGGAATCTCGCCTGAAGAGATGCGTGCTGCGCGATGGTGCGAATCCAATCTTGATGACGAGGTGGCGGCAGTGCTGCGAGACGGCTTCGAGGTCGCGGATGGAGGTTGAGCCCGTGGGTGGTGTGCATACGTAGAGGGTGTGGAGGAGAGACGGGATCTGTGGTTCGAGCAGCTTGTGCAGTGTTTTCGATACACTGCGGAGCGTGAGCAGATCGCCTGTTGAACGCACGAAGTTGAGGATGGTGAGGGTGATGCGCTGGTCCTTGAGACCGGTAGAGATCAATGTTGCTTCGAGTAAGGATGCCATGTCTGTTGTCGCGGATGCGCCAGAGAGAAAACGTTGCTTTCATATGTTTATGGGGGACTGCTGGTCTGTTCGCGAACGGTTAATGATACAGGAAGCCATGTGACCGCTCTCGGATATGGCAGTCACATGTGGATGCCTGCAGAAAGCCAGCAAAGAGCAAGTTTCAAACACGATGTAAAATCTTTCGTATTGCAAGCAGGATCAGGAGGACGTCAGCGTTCAACAGCTTGGACACTGCGTGCCACTTCCGGAATGTTCTTCGGGGTCGTCCGACGCTTTTTCTGGGCCGCGATTTAGGAGAAGCCTCATCAGGCAACTGTGAACGCTCTCCTGGATCCCGTTTGAGCATGATGTCTGTTCGCAACTGGCAATGGAAGGATGTGGATGTGTTCGAGCTTTATGGAGTTTGAAAGTTTGCGCGAGATACGATCCTGTAGTAGTCTGGTTTTGATGGCAGCATGTAAGTGAAAGAACCTGTTTGCGAAGAAGAAAACGGAAGGATGGGTTGCATCTGCTTCGATCAAGTCGCAAGCATTCATACGGGGTTGCGTATTGAACATTCAAGTAAGGAAGACACATGCTCTTCGACAGAAGCTCCTGGTTCTCCATCGTCTGCAGACGACAACAACGATGGAACATCTATCAGAGAATCACGCACCCTCTAACAGCGCTCGGCTGTGCCACCGCTTCTTTGAGCAGGCTAGTAGCTGTGCGCTAAATCTATGCATTTCCTGATTGACTATAGAAGCAGATATTAGTCTGTTACGATGCGAAGGGACTGACTGACACATGAGCTTCTTGAACAAGCAGAACTGCCTCTCCAGAGCAAGAACGATACTGGACCTCTATACATATGTCATACGTTGAGATGTAAGCTTGCTTTGTTACACTCTGTGGGAAAAGATGCTTCGGACGTTAGCAATACGCTAGGTTATACATACTATCTCGACCTGGCAGAACACCATTGGGGCTTTGCTTGTAGAGAAAATGGGTAACTTTATATATTTTAGTTTGTCAATCATGACGTGGTCAACGGGCACATGGTCTAGGGGTATGATTTTCGCTTCGCATGACACGCTCTTGCCACTTGTGAAAGGCCGGGGTTCGAATCCCCTGTGTCCATTATTTTTGCATTTGTTGCTCTGGAGCTCAATTAGGCATCGTGGTAGCTCCGTGTCGCCCACGAGGCTCTCTGCCATCCTGTGCAGAGATAGTTCTGCCAGTTGCCATTGACAGGCTGTATTAACTGAGCCCATGTGGCTCGGATCTCATCGAGTACATGTGGCTGCGACCGAATGTGCCAAGCGTGAAGACCAATTTCATCAGCATTGCGGAGCTATGGCCCAATGGTGAGAACAAGGACATTGTCGACTTGAAGCACCCGATTGAACTGTCTAACTGGCTGGATCAGTTCAAAGGTTACACTCGCGGGACCAAAACCTACTCATGGGATCGGATGAAGGCGGAGATCAGGATTGAGGGCGGCGGTTCGCCAAGCTCTTATTGCAAGACATCTGTAAGGTAACGGGAGGCGCCTGACTTCCATAAAGAAATGTGAACAGATCTCAACTGCGTCCAAACATCCAGCGAGTGTTTGCTCAAGTCGCACCCATCGCCGCTCGCCTTCCGTGCACCAAACGGGCAATCCAGACAACAACCAGTCTGCTGGTGGCCCCAGAATGCATTGCCTTTGGATGGCGACGGAAGCTGCGAAGTGACGGTGATGATTTCTTTCGATGAGCGCAGCGCATACGGAAGGTAAATTCCACTCGAACAACGACAGCCTCAGAGCATCCCGGCTTTGCGAGATAGCGAACTAGGACAAACCCATCCCCTTGAGCGGGAAAGCGAGGCCTTTGTCAAGCCCGTGTAGTTGGACAAGGAGCGTAAAGGAGTCCGCGACACCCTGCGGTCGGCCAAACCCATGCAAACGACTCTGCCGCCATATAGTCTCTTTTCGGGGACAGGCCCGAAGCAGATAACAACAATCTTTGCACTTGCACACCTCGATTTCTGCCAGAGCACAACAATGCCTGTAAACCAAGCCGAATGGACACTTGACGACTGGGGTGTCAACACTGCCAGAAAGCTCATGTCCATTTCCGCTGAGACCGTTTAGGTTCGGGTTCAGTCCGACGTACGCAAGCTCACCGTTTCCAAAGAGCTCCTCGTCCGCCTTGCGCCTTGCTGCAAAATCGCCTTTCAGGGCTTACAGGGCGGAGACAGAAGGGTCCCCTCGGTGCTCTCCTGACTTTACACAGCCCACCTCAACTTGCGCAACAACAACGACGGGGCGCCGAATACAAAATGCGCGGCGCGTGCCTACGTCTTCGGGGATCCGTATGAGATACGAGTATGTTGACGAAACGTCATCACATTTTTCTCCGGACATCTACACCTATACGTACCCAAGTACGCCGCCGTTTCTATGGCTTTCGACAAGCTAGCGGAGAACCTTCCCTTTCGCCGCACGCTTGTTGACTCATAAAGCAAGTCCGAAAGACTTGTAGGTAGGTTAAGTTCACCCTATGATTGAGCGTTGAACATCAACGACGAGCCAAACGGTAGAGGATTCCATGGCACTGTCTCCAACAACACCGCAAATCACAATCCTCCAATCGTTTGCAAGACATGTTCGGTAACGCACATAATGGTCATAGAAAGGCGAACGGCTTGCAGGGAGGTAGGTGGGGGAGAAATAGGAAGCCGAAGGAGGGTAAGGTAGCTGGCCAATAGAGAGAGCGCCCATATAACGGAGCCTATAAGCTGTTGTCAAGAGAAAGTAGGATACAACGAAAACGTTCCATACCAAGTCGAAACGATTGTAGGAGGCGAGTATGAGACAAGTTGCAAGTCGTAGAGGGCAGACGAGCCGTAGCACAGGAACAGACGGAGATTGAGTAGATGGGATGGGTAGATCATGGTCATCTAAAAAGCAACATCGTGCTTGCCGCATATCCGCGCCTCTGCTCACATCCATTGAGACTTCGGCGGCTAGAGTTCTGTAGCCGTTCGACAACTTGCAAGGTTCGCCTGGCATAAATAACGCCGATGTTCCGGCATACTTTGCTTGAGGAGCACGTGGGCCGAAGCCAGCCGGCGCGTCTCACATCTCCTGATAATTCCGGTGGTAATGGTCGGGGCCCCACGATGTCTGCAGACTCCCACATTGCTTGATTCCTGGTCGTTTCCTGGTTGGCTTTGTCTCTGCCTTGCGGGGCTCCTCCCCGTGGCTCAATGATCGCTTGTGCGACTGAAGTGCGAAGCATGACGTTGTAGGCACTGCTACTCACGAAAAGTGTTCGAGAATTGCCGTTGTAGTGCGAGGGTTGACGGCAGGCCTGGGTTGTAGTACGCTTGCAACATCAGGGCTCGAGCCTGCTTGATACCGAAGTTTGCTCGAACGCCATTCCTGTGCAGCTCAATGTGGTCTTTGCATTCCATGGTCGCATCGAGTTTACCCGCAACGAGACGGAGCGGTCAGACGGCAGCTGGGAAGGAAGGCCGGACCTGCAATTGTTCTCACATGCAGACGTTGGCTGGGCACTGTGGCCCAAGAGAGTAGCCAAGCGAGTGTCGATCGATCCCAGCATGTTCTCCAAAGCCTGAAGATCCATCCCTGTTCCTGATGTCTCAAACGATATCCAGTGGCTGGAAGGTAATCACGATGGTTCCCGACTCAACGACATCTTCGCAGATAACCGAACACCAATCATGGACGGGATCCGTCACACCATTTTTCGAAAGCACTTGCGGATGCTGACCGATGGCAGGTCCCGAGACGATCGTATCGCAGATCGGCGCAGTTGCCCTGTCCAACAACATGCACTTTGATCAAATTCCCTCGCCCTCTCTGCAGGGACATGGAACGGCATCCGACGAGTGGGGGTCGTACAATAGAGAAAAAAGCGTTGGGCTTACACGCCTACCGGTAGCACAGTGAGACAGTGCGCCTCATGCCCACATCGAGGTGGCGGACCGCGTGAAGATGAGGCTGACTGACCGTCGTGGGTGAACCAGAAAGCTGGGATTGTGAGCTCTTTGGCGTGTTTCAAGACGCTCCAAGGATTGGTTGGGCTGGGTGCCAGAAGCGAAGCCTGCAGGGACAGCGTGGCTGGGATGGATTTCACATGGGACACTGTGTGAAAACGCCCACATATCGTTGTTCTGACGACTGGACGCATGCCTGGCTCGGTCGGATTCGGCCCCAAGTCACACCGCATGCTAGGATCAGTGAGCACCGTTCGTCCCAGCCACTAAGGCAGGGATTAGAGATGCAGGCATGAGGAATCACGTTGATCGGCGCGCGAGCGTGATTCCAGCCATGCCCTATCTCAATTATGCCGCAGGAAACGCTGTCATTGGAAACTTCAGCCATGGGTGGAAGAGCCAAGCTGCGAACTCACCGAGGGCTGGGAGTTCGTGGACAAGGATGTCGAACCATAGGCCTGTCTAGGCAGTATAATGACGACCGTGTTGGTGTTGTTTGTGCAGTTGTTCAGCGGTGGTGAAAGAGACAAGCTTTCAAAAAGGTACTCCGTTTGTGCGGCCCGTGCCGCTGGGCCAATCACTACATGCCTACCCCTGTCCCCGGAAATCTCTATGACGACCTCGTTCGTGGAGACCCGAGATGGCATGTCCGACGACTTTCCCTCAAACACTCACTTTCACAGCCGACCTTCTCCACAACACTCAGCATAGCGGTGGCGACGCGAGATCGCCCAGGAGCGGCCGATTCACGCCGTGCCGACCAAGCGTCTGTTGAGCGAAGGCCTGCAAACAGTGCGGCGGCAGTAGTGCTATGCATCCTTGACAACACTCTAGCACCCTTGGCTCCAAGCGTATCGCACCATTCCCACGATTGTGGTGGAGCGTGCAAAGGCTTCTTGGAGATTAGGCAGAGTGGAGTGGCCAGCTAGTCTGCAGACCGTCTGCAGCTTTAGACCGTGTATATAGAAGGCAGGACACCCAACCTCCTGGCAAGGTTCCCTTCGGTTGGTTGCATCTCCCTTGGTTCAGTGTTGCACAGGCGCCTCTCGTTTCGTCTCTTGTGCCACGTTCCGAAGAACATTCCACACATCTCACTGCGCTATCCTTCGTTCCTAACTGCCTTCGTTTTACTTACTCGCGCAAGTGAAGATGGTGTCTTCTTGGGGAGTTTTGGCTGCTGGCCTCGCCAGTGTAGCTTCGGCTCAATGGGGTGGGCATAGAGGACCACAGGGACATGCTGATGCATCGCAATGGGCAAACCAGAAGCAACCGCAATGGGGTGGGCAGTCTCATGGTCAACCTCAAGGTCAGGACCACTCGTGGGGCTCACCACAGGCACAAGCACAAACATCCCAGGCACAGACTTCACAGGCTCAGCCCTCCCAAGCACAGCAAGCGAACGCACGACCAACGCAGGCACAGTCTTCGCAGGGACACTCTTTCGGCTCTTCGTATGTCAACACAGGATCATCGGCGGGTAGCCCGGATTACCCATGGATCTTCCAGTACCCTCTCCCGATCCCACCCAACGCCAGTCCATTACAGTAAGTAGACTCGCGACTCGCTTCGAACAGCACAATGCTAATCTCCGTCAGCTCCACAAACGTGAACGGCCGCGAAATCGACTACTACGAGATCACTATGGAGCCCTTCCAGAAGCAGATCTATCCAAACCTCGGTGCGACAGAGATGGTAGGATATAACGGTTCCGGTCCAGGTCCCACGTTCTGGGTGAAAAGGGGAACGGAGACTGTCATCCGCTACCACAACCAGCAGACGCGCAACTGCTCTGTGCATCTGCACGGCTCCTACAGTAAGTCTACCATCAAGCCCCGAGTGTCAGGGCTGCGCTAACATACTGCAGCTCATTCACCGTGGGATGGGTGGGCAGGCGATGTTGTCCAGCCGGGCGAATACAAGGACTATTACTACCCAAATGCACAGGGTGCGCGTTCGATCTGGTACCACGATCATGCCGACACGGTCACTGGCACCAACGCATACAACGGTTTGGGTGGCATCTACATCATCTACGACCCCGATGAGGACTACCTCGGTCTCCCGAAGGACAACTACGACATCCCCTTGGCCATCACCGATAAGGCGTACAACTCGGACGGCTCACTGAACAT